GTGTACGCCACTTGGCCGAAATCGAAATGCAGGCCTTTTTTTTCTTTTTCTTTTGATGGTATTTTCTGCTCTGCACGTCAATTAACGCTCACAGTGCAGCTGGAGAGCAGAGCTCTTGGCCCCAATCGCGAGCCCGAGCCAAGCCGCCGCTCTTCGGAGAATCGCAAGAGCCTCTGTCAGCCAGTGTGGGAACCCTGGTGAGAGAAATTGCCCCTGTCTTGGTGCAAGAGTGACCTCGTCTTGGGAAGATGCAAGAACACAGCGATTCTCCCCCATCTGCTTTATGCCAGGCAGAAGACCAGTGCCAAAACACCGAGTCCGAGGCTCGCCTGACAGACAGTCGCTTCCCTGTCCGACAAGGCACTGCCCCTGTGCTCTCTGTATCTCCTCCTTTCCAATGTCAGTGATCTTTGCACACCTTCAATTCAACGGCGGCGGAGGAGAGGCATTCGAAGCGAGCTGCAACCCTTGATCGACAAATGACGGATCGACAAATTGCCACGGTGCAGCTCCGAGGCATCCCACCGGCCTTCGATGCAAATGAATCCTTCTAAGGGCCACTTTGTCAGTGCAAGACCTGCCTCGGATATAGTGCTGCCTTGATTGAGAAACTCGTGTTGAGAGAGGCCGTCTACCTCGCATGCCAAATAGCAATGATCGGCACCGAGTATCACCGAGCAGCCGACCGCCACTTGATTGCACTTCCATCCACAGGTCTCCGAGCTGTCGGATCTTGGATTTCTCTACGCGAGGCAACGGTGGTGGGTCTGCTGCCGATAATCATAGGAGAACTTTGAAGTCTCGGCGTCGCTCCTAGGCGGCACTGGAGCAAGTCCACATTTAGGAGCGAAAGCAGGCATAGTTGCGAATCGAATTGCCAGATCCTCTCAGGTGTTTGAATGCTCTAGAGCTGGTATCTAGCCGTAACATTCCTTCAAGAATCTTCTGCAAAGGTCCTGGAGATACTTTTGCTAGCGGCTTGGCGCTTCTCCCAAGGCAAGCCCTTCACTATATCGAATGAGACTCGAGAGGCAAAAACAAGACATAGATAAATCCTAGGGTGAAACGGGCGTGGGTGTGGGAGTGGTCGGATACTTGCTCCTCATTCGTCGGCAAACGCTCAGGATAAATGCCGCTACTCCTGATAGATTGCATGCGATGCTCGCGTGGCTCTGGTCCCCTGTACACAAGAAAGACACGGGAAGGGAAGAGGAGTTCGGTATGCAAGAGAGCGGAAACAGATGTGGGCAGGTCTTCGTACATGCCGTGTTTATCCACCGCTCGAGAGTGACTCCACGCGTCGACACGTGTGCGAGGGGGACTATGCGGTCAATTCATGGGAGAGACGCATCAGGCGGATGAAAGCGGCAGAGTTGCCGGCCATATCCGCATGGATCAGGGAGCTGTCAGTGGCATGGACGGGTCTCAGACTTGCCCAATCAGGGCAACTTGTCAGGTTTGCTGCCACGCCTCCAGCCACCTGGAGCCATCGGCCTTAGTGACTGCGTCTGATTCTCAAACTGTCGCCACACAGCACACGCAGATCAAGAGCATTTGCGGAGATGCAACCCTCCTTGCGTGCAGTGTGCATACACCTCGCGTCTACGTGTTTTGAACGACTGGGCCCTGTCCCCGTTCCCGCTCAGCATGCGTGTCGATGCACACACGAATGCAGCTCACTCAGCTAAACCCCATGGGCGAGAACAATGAGAACTTTCCTATTTGCCCTTTTCATTCGTCGCAGTAGCGCGACGCATTTCATTTCGGCCATCTTTGCGCAGTCCACTTGCATCTCGGCAGGCGTAAGGCAGTCCGCAAACGCTCAGCTGTTCAAGCGCTGTAGCTGAGTATGATTGCCAGTGCATTCTCAGGGACAATCTGCGGTGAGGGCGTGTGCCGGCTGTTGAGCCGACTGTCCATCCTCGGACACCTCGGCCTGGACCGCCCACGCCCATGGCAGGCGCATATCACCAACCGGAGCTGCATGCCGCATTTACCGTCGAGCCGCCACATGGCCTCGGCCAGAAAAATGGCCCCCGTGGCTTTGAAGCCACCAATTTTGCCCCATTTCTCAAATTGTCGATCCGAGCCAGCGCAGCGGCTCCTTGGCTGCAGACTGAAATAAAGGAAAAATCAAAATACATCAAAAGAACGTCCAAATGCAGGCACTGGTCATTAGCAGATCATTTGTCGATCTTGAGGGGGGGTTGCGGCCATATGCACCTCCGATGCGGTCAGAAAGTACCCACGGCCGGTGGAAAAACAAGATGTGCGACAGAAAGGCAAATGTGGAAGGCGACCTCGGTGCTAGCCTCTGTGGCTTGTCAAGCCAGTCGAGCGGATGCGCCTCCCCGACATGATCCTAGTGAACGTGCATTCAACGCTCGCTTTATGCGCACCGGCCGGAGACCCATGCTGCCCTGCAGGCGACCGCGTACAGTAATTGCCGGGGCACAGTATGCTCGTCGGTTCGGAAGCATCGCTCCGATTTGCCGCCATCGACCATCGATATGTCGGCTGAGTGGGCAGACGACCGTCTGCGAAATGCTGCACTTGTGCAGGTGGCGATCGTGACACTTGACTTCTACTTACCGCCAAGCCTCTGTTGAGCCAGAGTTACTCCTTCGAGCCCTGCAAAAACACGCAGCCACTGCACGAGGAGCGTCCGAGCTCCCCGTCCCGCTGTCCCGGGATCTGTGCCAAACCAACTTGGCAGGACGTCGTGCAGTGTGACAACCCCAAACAAGGGTTCCAGGCACCTTCACGTGTTTTGACGGAGCCAAGGCGAGCCGGATGTGGCGTGTCATGCAGACAAGGTGGCGGTGGGAGAGCAGTGTCCGTCGGACGAAAAACTTCTCTCTTCGTAGCGCTCTCATACGCGGACGCAGGAGATCAACTCTATTTCCGGCTGCGCAGTCTGAGACCAGCTGAGTATCTTGGTCTAGCGCTCCGGAGGAAAGTCAACCGCGTCCTGCCCCCCCCCCCCCC